TTCTTTTTTACAAATTTAAAAAATTAACTTCAATTGACAGTTTTGTTATTGACGTGTTCAAAAACATTTTCTATTAAATGTTCAGTATTTTAGTTGTACTCTTTATTTTACATGTTATATTTCATTACAGATTTATATAGTTATTTAATATAAAAAAATATTAAAAATGTAAACCTCGTGTAATGCTATTGCGCACAAAAAATAAACTAGATAAAGCCTAATCTAATCTTTATCAAATATTGATAATTATTTTTAAATGGTCACAATAAAAACATACAAAAATGTTGAATTTCAAAAGTTTTAATTAATAAAATGTTATTCAGTTTGTATTAAAGAAAGATACTTCTAATCTAATCAGATATTCATTGAATAAATTTAAAGTTAAATTTTAAGGAATTAAAATATTATTTTACATTAATATAAAATATAGCATGTACCTACTAAATCGAGAACTGTGAATAATATTTACAAAACCCCAATCTGCATAAACATTTATCCGGTCTGGTATATTCTCCTCAATGACAAATTCCTAAACACTCTACTGATTTCAAATGTAGAGGTATTTCAATGATTTACTATTACATGCTGTCTTAATAGTGACAGATAAAAAATTTCATTAAAAAAATCATAAGCTTAAAAAAGTTAGGATATTTCTATTAAAAATTATGAAATAGAACTGTAAAATAATTGTAATTTTTCACATAATTATTTATCACTATTGAATCTATAAAACAGGAGACTTTCAGTAAAATGTAAGTATTTTTCCATTTAGGTTACCTTAAATATAACTTAAAATATCAGTAACTTAATTTATTAATTTATTCAACTATCGTGGATTACAAATTTTCATGAAATTTTGTTATGTTTTTAATAATAATAATTAACTTTAATATTAACAATAATTAATCAGTCGATATATTAAATTTAATAAAACATATATATATATACATAGTGGAACAGATCTAATCTAACTCATATAACTTATGATTTACATAATATATATTATATATTTTTAATTAATTTTAAATTAAAGCAAAATGTTTATATTGTAAAAGTTGATTAAAAAAAAATTATAAAATATTATGTAGATCATATGTTATATGAGTTGTCAGTTAGATCTGTTCTATTTTGTGTATTGATTTTAATTAACAATGAAATCATGTGTAAACCATTATCATACAGATAACTTAATATTAAAAAAATAATACTGGAAATAATAAAAATCTTAAAATTTGATTTGATTATAACTGGTCGTAGACGCGAAAAACTGCAAATAATAATAAAATAAATGTTTTGAAACTCTTATTAGTATAAAAATATCAATTCATAAAGCTTTTACCTATAAAACTAAATGCATCAATAAATAAATACCTCCGAGTTATGTCTATTGAAAAATTATGGAGGAAAAGACTAAAATTAGATTATTTAAATACAAAATTACTAACAAATCTTAAAATTTAATAGGGACCCCTAGCACACATTTGCGGTACAAATTTATTTTATGATAATATCAAAAAATTTTACAACTAACCCGTTTTTATATTTATTGTAACACCGGTGGCATAAATATTGAAGTCAGAATCTTTAACAGGAACCCAAAAACCCTAAAACCGTAAACTGCGATTTTATCCTACATTATACATTCGTATGCGATATTTATTTCCTCTCCGTTTTATGCTCACACTCAACGTCAAATTCAGCTATGATACTTTAAACTTGCGTTTTGATAGTCCAATTGAAACTGAACATGTATAAAATGTTTGTTTTTATACCACCAAAAACATATAACTAATGAAAATTAGTTAAATTATATAAAGAAACATAAAATTCAAAAATGAAAAGTTCTACTATCAGCTCATTTTAATAATTTAGAGAAACCAAATAAAAAATTAAATATCCAAATAATTTACAATTTAAAAATTGATTTAAAAAAAATCTATGTCTGTTTTTATTTAAGTAGTGTTTGATTTAAATTATTATAATGTTTTTTTTTAATATCAGTTTTTCTTAACTGCTGCATTTTATAAAAAAAAATTCAAGTAATATTTTACAAAGTAATTTTATCTATTAAAAATTAAAAATTACTTGTGCTTGATGAAATGATTGTCAATTTTTCAAATTCATGCAATTCTTAATTAATATAATAAACTTAACACTAAAATTAATTTTGACTAATAATTTAGCAACTATTTTATATGATAGCTAAAATCATAATAAATGTGCAATACATTTGATCAAAAATTTAAAGTTTTTAACTAACCGGTTTTATAAAATACGTTATATGAAATACGCTTTTATTTTTTATTTCATTAAGTTGAATATCATTATACAAATTTTTAGTCAAAATTTAAATCACACTAATCTTATCATCCGAGTTTGATGCAGTGGATCGATTTTGAATATTTCTCGAGCTACCGAGTGGAAATTAACACAATTATAAGGGGCAAAAACCATTCCGGGCAGATGCCCAACGCAAATAATAGAATAATTTTGTGACAATGTTGATGTTAATTAAAATGCTCGAGTGACGGTAACGGTGGCACTATAAATGATAAAAAATTAGTTGAAGTTTTATGCAAATACAGACCAGCACCTCTGTTATTAGGCCGCATTGAGTCATGTTTCCGAATTTTCTTTTATATTAAATCTTTACCTACTTTAATTCTTATTTAAAAATATAAAACTTATTGACATAAGCAATGCAAATGGACATTTTAGTGTTATCTCAAGAATAATAATAAAATAAAAACTCTTAAATTATATAAAATATTAATTATTAGCATCAATCAATATAAAATTGTCTTTCCCAACCATTCCAGGTGATTTTCGGTGTGATAAACTTTGGTCATTTTTGAAATCTGGCAAAATACGCTAACTTTGAAAACTATTTAGCCATTGTTTAAGTTGATGTCACTTGTTGGAATTTAGATGAGATCATACTTATAAAGGAAGATTCTTACTGCCAAACGACTTTAGGGTTAATAAGTATCAAAGGGTACTATATGATTATATAACTAGCTGAGAAATATGATACAACTTCGTTAGATTGTAATATTGTAGCATTTTATTAAACTACCAAATTCCACAGTTTGTCTGAAACATTCATAAAATATATACATAGTAAATGTTTGTCGATATCAACTAATATGTTGGATTGAATTTTCATTATGATTAAATACTTAAGAATAGAATTTCATTTAAAGAAGTAAAAGACGTATATATTTTACGTGTCATCTTTAAAAAATTATATTATTAAATGAATTACAATGTATATTTTTAAGTTACAAATACATTTTGATCGAACTAACTTTAATTTAATTTCTATATCCTAGATTATTACCGTTTGAGTTATAAATTTAATATTAAACTACAACTTCTCTAACTAAGTTTAAAGTTTTTTTTCTTGCTTTTAATTTGTTTATTTCAAAAAAAAATTATCCTTATTAAATTTTACATACATCATATACAGTGTGATTTATTAAGTAAACCCCCTATTTTTCATTAAATAATGATTTTTTATTAAAAACGTATAGGATATTTACAATGGTTTATAAAATTTAATTAAATTTTATAAACCATTGTAAATATCCAGTTTATTGTAAGAAAAAATTATCCCTAAAAGTAAATCTTAGAGATAACTTTCAAAAATTACTTAGGAACCTTTTTATTTTTTTTACTATTAAATAAAAAATGATCTAAATATAACTTTGACAGATTGATAACTTTTTTTTGAGATATTAGCATTTGAATATTAAGAAAAAATGAGTGGAAAAGTTTTTAGTACATTTCGATGGTCATTATTTATTAACTTAAAAAAATTAGTACAATAGGGAATCTGTGCAATAATTTTTTATTTATAAAAGAGTTGACATAAAATACTCAAGCTTTAACAAAATTATTTATTATTGTGTAGATTAAAATTCTATGCTGAATGATAGAACATTCTCGGTCATTGGTAATTGTTTGATACTAAGTGTATTAATTCATTAACTATGTCTATTAGAGCATATTAATTAGAATTACAACTGGAACGTCTGGACATACTCAGTAATATATTAACTTTACACGAGATCATATAACCATAATATAGGAGTTAAAATAGGAACTATAAATATCAATTTAGATTATAGGTTCTGAGAGTGGTTTAACTTAGTAGTGTCTTTCAGATATTGTATAAATGTTATTAATATTTAAATTGCTTAAATAGTATAAATATAATATTTCCAAATATTTCAAACAGAAAATTATTCATGCTTCACATTAAATATTTTGAATTCAGATGTACGTCATATATTAATTATCAAATTTAATTTCAGATTGTTGCTGTTAATCATCAAAAGTAAAATTTTTATTATCTGTATTATTGTAATATTACCTATAATGAATTTATAAATTTCATTGTAGGTAATATTAAATATGTAGATATTTATACAAGAATAAAAATTTAAAAAAAAATAATAATAATAAATAAAATTATAATAATATTATTTTAATGATTTTATATTTTTAATTCTACAAAATCAAAAAAACATAAAACATTTAATAGAATCACATACTGTAACATTTAAACAGTGAAAAATTGACCATCAACACTACAGTGAGTGTTTATACTATTAATTTTATTTTATTTAATCCGTTTACAATTTTAATTGACTTTTTATTTGTTTTTTTTTTTTGCTTATTTGTTTATATTTTATAATACTGAAAGTTCAAACTTAACCATGTTTCGTGAAATGAATACTTAAACAGAAAATTTATCTACATAAAAAAAGAAAATAGTTTATGTCTCATATAAAGGTATACTAATAATCAGAGTACCCTAAAAAACTACGTAATTTTAGTTGTGGACTTTACAGCTATGCATGACGACATGACACTGTCTCTTTGCTTAGTTCCCTTATCGTATACATTTAAGTGACGACGCTTTCCGTCGGCTGCACAGCGCTGTACCTAAACTAACACACATTCAAAAGATCTCCATTGCGAATTTCATCCTAACGGATGCCGGCAGCAGTACCACATTTGCCGCCAAATAGATCGCATGCCTTTAGTAAGCTTTCATTGTTACTGTTTATAACCGGTCGCGACTTCAATGATCTATAGTTTATTTTACATAAATTATCTAATGTTTTTATAGTAGTGCAATTGAACCTTGTTAAATATTTTCAGTAATAATAGTGATACAGTGAAATATTTGAATCAAAAATTACGTTGTACTTAAGTCAAATAAACACATCTAACGTATTGCTTTATTACCAAGCGAATGGAGCCTCGGCCAAGGCACCCAGCGGCTATCGTCGGATGCCTTTTAATAGTTTTTATGATTGTTTTAAATTCAGGTATTATAGTTTAATATTTTTCATGAGTTAGTTTTATATCATTAAAATGTTGAATATTAATGAAAATTAATAAATTGTTTTTCACATAATATAATTCTTGTTAATACAAATCAAAAAAGATATTAAAATTAAAGAAAAATTAAAACTGGATTAATATAGCAAAATTAGATTATAATGGTTTATGATCTATGGAAACAACATTCCGACTTTACATTTATCATTAAATATAATCCAATATGATGAAATCAATCAAATATAATATAGAATAAATTATTAGCATATAAATATTAGATTTATGTACTATTTTTATCAATGTTTCTTTTACATTTAAAAAAATTTTAATCTAATATCAAAATGTGTAGCTCGATCAAGATAATACTTCATCGTGTCATTAAATTTCCATTAAGATTTCTCTTAGCACTCTCTGCGAAGCAATGTATGAATTTTACATTTCTTTGTATAATGTAAATCTGAAATATTATATTATGGTAAGGCGCCAATATTTGTTGTGAATAAAATTGAAAGCGAATAAAATAAATGATCATATATTAGTTTCAAAAAAAATTTTTTTTATATAAAATCAATGTTTTAGTCTATATAAAAGCCAAATATTAAAGTCCATTTTTACCAAATAAATTTGTATAATATATACAAATTATATATACATAATAACTGTAAAATAAATATTATATTTTTAGGTTTACTTTAAGTTTAAGTTAAATCGAGTTTTAATTAATAAACTTAAGGGATTAAATATATTTTGTACTTCTCGTAGATACAAAATTATTAAATTGTTAATATTCTGTATAAATTAACTAAATTGCATACTTTATAGTAAACCATTATATATAATTTACTGAACCACAAATACCTAATTACAAAATTATACCAAACTAGTCAGTGATTGTCAATATTTTTGATTTTATTCTGTTTACATCAATATTCAGAAATAAACAATTCATACTAAATATTTTTTACAAAAAATTCTTTTTTTGTGTCGTTGTACATGAACTTTGACATATTATGTATGTATATTAAAGTCATATATGCACCAATATTGATGTGACTGAATCTACCTTAACGTACTCTAGTACGTTTTAAAACTCTAGAAAATTTACTTTTATACATTTTCAAGTTTACAGGCAATCAAATTTATTTTTTGTTCAATATATTTTAGAATGCTTAATTACCACAAAGTATTTTTATACACTTAAAGTGTGGTTCAGCTTGTTTTGACAATTTTAATCATTTTTGATTCATCTATAAATTTTTCGATATATTTTTAATTAATTAACACACTTTTGGACTCCAATAATAATATAATAAATATTATTTTCTAATTTTATATAATATATAAAATTTACATAAATTTTTATGATATATTAATAAAAATATCATAATAGCCATTTGTAAATCAAAATTTTAGAAACAATTGGATAAAGTAAATACTCGTTAATATTGAGTAAATAAATTACTACAGTATTTTAAAATTTATAAAATTTTTAACTTTTTGCATTTATTATACGGTATGTTATTAAGAAAAGGATAAAACAATCATAATATTTAGGGGAAAATATAAGGGAGTATAAAGGAAAAAGATTGATATAAAGTAAAAATAGGTATGCGGAATATTGGTACATTAACTGGTAAAAGTTGAAAATTAGTAGAAGTATTGAAGAAGAGTAAAGTTAATATTTATTGTGTACAGAAAACTAAGTGGAAGAGAGAGAAAACAATAAAAATGGCCGAGGGTTATAAAATTATATAATCATTAAGACCAATAAAAAGAATAGTGTAGGGATAATAATAATAAAGAGATGAAAAGTAAAGTAGTAGAAGTAGTTAGGAATAGTGACAGAATTATAGTCGTAAAATTAATTTTTGAGGAAAAAGTGTTGAATGTAATAAGTATCTATGCACCATAATTATGATGTGATGAAATAGACAAAGAAGTATTTTGGAGAGAGATAGATGTGGTGATGCAAGGAATACCTAGCAATGAAAATGTGGTGTTGAATGGAGACATAAATGGACGAGTTGGTAATGAAAGGAGAGTATATGAAAGAGTATATGAAAGAGTACATGGAAGGTATAGTTTTAGTGCTAATAATGAGGCTGGAAAAAGAATCCTGGATTTCACAGTATCATAAGATCTTGCTTTAGTTAGCAAGGGAATTGAAAGGGGAAAAAGAAAAAGAGTTTTTAAAGACGATAAAAGTGTGAACAGTGTTGAATGTCGAGGAAGACATAAATGATGCGTATAATAGATTTGATAGATGGGTAAATAATACTGCAAAGGAGATTTTTAGTGAGGTAGAATTTCAGGAAATATGGAAATATTAATTAGTGAGAAAAAAGTATGGTAGACTGTGGCATCAATGAAATAGAATAAAGTAGTCGTACCAAATGAAGTACTTATAGAAGTATAGAAAATATTAGGCAATGTTGGTTGAAGGATCTCTTTAATAATATTATAATAGAAAGGAAAATGCTCAAAGAATGGAGGAATAGTATTGTAGTTTCGATATTTAAAGGCAAAGGAAACATATAGAAGTGTAGAAATTATAGAGATATAAAGCTTATGAGTCATAGTATGAAGATTTGGGAAAAGATATTAGATAAAAGAATAAGAGAAGAAACATTGATAACAAATAATCAGTTTGTTTTATTGCCTAGGAAGTCAACAATGGAGCCAATATTTTGTGTGAGACAATTAATAGAAAAGTATAAGGAAAATAAAAAAAAAGCTGTGTATGGTATTTATAGATTTAGATAAAGCATATGATAGAATAACGAGAAAGGTTTTAAAGTGGATAATAATGAGAAAAAAGTCCCGAAATGGTACATTAACATAACAGAAGTTATGTATGATAGCGCTTGTACCAGGAAAAAAGTATGGGTGGAGTAAAAGAAAAATATAAGAATAAGAGTAGAAGTGCACCAAGGTTCTGATTTAAGTCCTTACTTATTTCTTATAGTGTTAGGTGAAATTACAAGAGAAATACAATGAGAGATACCATGGTACATGTTGCTCACTGACGATATAGTGTTAATTGGAGGAAATAGGAAAACGATTCATTAAACGCTAGGCGTGTGGAAATCAGCTCTTGAAGGAAATNTCATTAAACGCTAGGCGTGTGAAAATCAGCTCTTGAAGGAAATGAATCAAAAATAAATATGAGTAAAATAGAGTATATAAAGTTACGAATTTGACAAAGGAAAACACGAGGTATATAAAATAAGGAGATTAGTGACAATAAGTGTGATAGGAGAAGTAGAAAGTTTAAAGTATTTAGGAACAAAAAGTACACTGGTATTGACGAGGATGTAAAACATAGGATTAAGTGCGGATGGGTAAAATGGATAGAAACGTCTGGTTTGTTATGGGATAAGAGAATTCCAATGAGACTGAAAGGTAAGTACTATATGACTGTAATGAGATCAGCTATGATGTATGGTTCAGAGTGTTGGGTGTTTGACTAGAAAATAGAGCAGAAAAGATGTGTATCAGAAATAAAAATGCTTAAATGAATGAGTGTAGTGACTAATGAAGGTAAGATAAGGAAAAAACATATAAGAGGGAGTATAGAAGTAGCATCAATTGTGGATAAAATGAGAGAAAATAGACTTAGAGGGTTTGATCATATTATGAGAAGAGAGGATTCGGAAGCTACGAGAAGAGTTATGGAATGAATTTTGAAGGAAGAAGAGGCAGAGGAACATCAAAAAAGATGGAGGGATGTTATTAAATGGGATATGAGGACAGCTGATGTGGGATATCGTGTTAAGTGGAAGTTTAGGATTAAGGTGGCCGACCCCAAATATTTTGGATAAAGGCAAAAAAGAAGAAGAAATATTGATTGTAGATATAAATTTTTTCATTGAAGTTATTATCGCTTGAAAAAGCGACAATAATATAACTGAATCGTATTAATAACGACTATTCAATTAGTTGTGTAATATAATAAGAGTTATAGCTTAATAACAGTTATTGGTGTGTTTGATTAAAAACTAAACAAATATTTCCGAAACAGTTTATGTTACAGATGTTCAAATCAAATGGAATCATAATATGTCGAATATAAATATTTTATTTTATAGATTAATTATAGTATTTATACAGAAAGAATAACTCTACATACAATTTCCAACCTTATATTACTTGAATAACATTAAATTGATCAAAAACGAAATTAACTTACTAAATATAGGTAATAAATATAATATTTATCAAAGTCACTAAGTTTAACACTATTAAAAAAGAAATAGCCAATGTCAATCTGTTATTTATTACACACAATTTAATAACCTAAACAGCACTAGACATAACATCATAGAAACTCCAAAAATACTTTATTTTAACAACAAATATAAAATCAAAAAAAAAATTACAATATTCTAGAACAAATAAATACAGCTAATAAGATTGCCCAAAAACTTTTAAAATAAAAAAAAAAAAAAAAAAAAAAAAAAAAAAGCTGAGAATTTATTGGCTGATAAACCCAATGGTATAGTAATTGATTACACCACAAATATCAATAACAAAACATATGAATTCATAAATAGAAATAACATTAACGATTTAGATGAAAATCTAATAACTATATATAACAAGCAAATTAATAACTTAATAAATATTCAATACTTTACTTGAAGATCAGATTTCTTTTTAATTACTTAAATGGTATATTTTGTTAATATTTCTAATAGTTATCTTCAATCTAAATTAAAATATTTTTTTCTCGTTGATTAGTTCATTTAACTGATAGGATAATGATAAACGGGACGGGATAGTCGCCGACATGCACCAGAGACCAGATATCGCAAAACGAAAAAATCACAAAAAAAATCTCATTGACATACTGGGCATTGAACAATGGACTTCATGCGCCAAAACATACGTTTCTACCTACTAAGCCAGACCTATTTATAAATGAGTAGTATACTTAAATAAAATGATTAAATAAAACGTGAAATTTAATAATAGTACAATGATGAAG